CAAGTTGTGCTACATATTGTCTTCATTGTCACTCGCTTCCAAATACTTCCTAATTTCTCTTATTTCTGCTTGACCTTTCATCGTGGTGATGTTTATTTTCTGATGACTGGATCTAGAGCTCTAAGTTAGATTCAGAAGTTACGTGCAGGTTCCTGGAGACCAGGGGAACACCCCAAATGAAAAAGGATGAAGCTTGCACTAAGCCGGTAGCAGTCAGGTGGCCACCCCATAGGGGTGCACAACAAGTATTTAATGCTTAGCGGAGCTCCTTGTCCCTCCCGGGGTCTATGTTGGGCAGGAGCTAGTGCTAGGCCTGGAGGGCACTGGCCAGTGCAACTCTAGAGGACAGTGACCGGCCAGAAAACAAAGCCTAGCTTGGAAAAATGACTGGGAAAAGGCGAGACATCAGCGTGTCAGGGTGTGGAGTCTTGGAGGTATTCAGGGCCTTGGTGCTCTGTTGGCTGGGAGTGGCCATCCCCACTGGATACGTCTGCTGCGCTCTTGAGCGCTATGGGGATCAGACATCACCCTGGAGGACCAAACCTAGCCGCTCCTCCCAATCCCACATTTTGTGGGAATATAATTCCACCGGACGAAGGAGAAACTTGAGAGGTTTACCTAGAGCATTATTTGATTGCTTAAGAGGCATGGTATTGCCCTGGCCGGTTTGGCTCCGAGGACAGAGCGTTGGCCTGCGGACTGAAGGGTCCTGGGTTCCATTCCGGTCAAGGACACATACCCTGGTTGCAGGCTCCTCCCTGCCCTGAGCCCTGGGGGCTCATGCAGGAGGCAACCAATCAATGTGTTTCTCACATCGATGTTTCTGTCTTTCCCTCTCTCTACTCTCCCCCCACACACCCCCAAAAAGAAAATCAATGGAAAAATATCCTTAGTTGAGAATTAACAACCACAACAAAAAGAAGCATGATATTGAATAATCTCTGGGGGAGGGGGCGCTTCTCTAGTATAATCCTCATCCTGCTAGACATCTGGAAGTGGAATCAGACGCCCCTATTTCCTGTCCTGAAACAGTTTCTCCGCATCGGCAGCCAGAAAAGATCGCCTTCCCTCCTGGGAAGAAAACGGCACAGCCACCGCACCAGGCCCCTGGGCCCATAGCGCAAACCCTGTGGGAGGCGTTGACCTTGCAAGGGGCTCTGAGGGGGGTGCAAGGCCCCGGTCTCTCGCTGGTGCCCCCGGAAGGAACACCGGATGGTAAAATCTGTGTGAAGAGAAAATGACCTCTGATGGGAAGGTTAGGAGGAAAATACCCCCAATCTGTAAGCAGAGTCGTCGAAGTGTCCTGGAGGCACACCCCACCCCTAATCTTCTCACCCTGAGCTTGGATTTAGGACAATTCAGATAACGTGCGTGCACGTCTGGAACCTTTTCCTGCGGCCTCAGCGGAAGCACTGATTAGGAAAAGTTTCCCACCTTTGCCCCAGGCCAGTGGAAATATTCTTTAGGTCAAGTAGAGAGAGAGAGAGAGAGAAAAAAAAGACCCGGTCTGTTTTATCTCACCCCATGTCCTTCCTGAAGGTCTGTAGAGTGTTGTTTACTAGCTGTCCCTGTCACCTTCCCCTGGCTTTGGGACGGGCACCCAGCCAATCCCTGCTTCTTCACTTCCTCAAAGAAACAACTTCGGCCCTAGCAGGCTTGGCTCAGTGGATGGAGCATTGGCCTGCGGACTGAAGGTTCCTGGGTTCGATTCTGGTCAAGGGCACACGCCCGGGTTTCGAACTCCATCCCCAGTAGGGGGCGTGCAGGAGGCAGCCGACCAATGATTCTCTCTCATCATAGATGTTTCTAAACTCTCTCTCCCTCTCCCTTCCTTTCTGAAATCAATTGGGGGGGGGGGGGGGACTCTCCAGGAATATTATAACCATTTTGCCCGATCTGAACTAAAATAGTAGGAAAGGAAAGGGACATGGGCAATAAACATAGATTGAGAGCCTAGTATGTTCCAGACCTTTATCTCAGATGATTCTCACACGGACCATTTGAGGTGGGTATTGTTCTCCCTGTTTTACAGACAAGGAATCCAAGGCTTAGAGGAGGTAGGTAACTGCCCCAAATTTATGAAAACGAAGAATTTGAATCAGGGTCCGTCAGACTCCAGAGCCCACGTTCCCCTTCCCGTGACTGCTGCCTCCCGGACTTCCACGTTCCCCTTCCCGTGACTGCTGCCTCCCGGACTTCTCCAGTCTGTTCAGAGGCGAGTCCCTCGGGAAACCCCCCTCTCCGTTTGCCACATAAGATTTGCACTTTATGCTGCCACCGAAACGGATTGCAAAATGCTCTTGCTCAAGTTTAGCACAAGCATATGTAGTTCACTGAGCTCTTTTAAGAAACGTAGGTCTCCTGAGTAAGCCACACATGAGAAAGAAGCACATTCAGTTGGATAATGTGATGATGGGAACACAGACTCCACAACCCTGCTCACTAGCAGTGATGGCGAACCTATGACACGCGTGGCGGAGGTGACACGCGAACTCATTTTTTTGGTTTATTTTTCTTTGTTAAATGGCATTTAAATATATACAATAAATATCAAAAATATAAGTCTTTGTTTTACGATGGTTGCAAAGATCAAAAAATTTCTATATGTGACACGGCGCCAGAGTTAAGTTAGGGTTTTTCAAAATGCTGACACGGCGAGCTCAGAAGGTTCGCCATCACTGCACCAGATGCATCCAAAGCTCGGCTTCCCTTCTGAACAATGCATTCCTAAGGAGGAGCAGGCCACCTGACAGCCAAGGGCATCCGTCCCTGTCCTGGTGCATCGCTAATTGGGCTCCATTGCAGGACCCTGTCTCTCAGCCGCAGGTCAGAGCTCGCAGACTCCATCTGGGGAGGATTATCAACGTTTTACAATGAAGTACCTGCATCCCCTCTCGGAGGAATCTCTGCTCCTGATAGAAAATTCATGGCGCCTCTCTGTGATCTTGTTCTGACTTTCAAAAGATCTCCTAGGAGAGAAGACCATTTAATTAACAGAGCCATTTCACCGTGCGAGCGCAGGCAATCCGGCAGGAGAAAGGGGGCATTGATTTCTGAAAACTGTCCTCTGTCCACAGTCAGACACCATCTCACATTTCCCAGGTAACCAAAATGGTTCCTTCAGTTAGGCAAGGATGCTGGTGGTATAACCAGGAGCGACAGGAAGTACTAGAGGAAAGAGAGAGCAGAAGGGAAAATAGTCCGTGGGCCGAAGATTAATTTTTCTCTTTTAATTTCTCTATTATGTGTTTGATGAAGGGAGAGAGACCACCACCACAAAATAATTTTTACATTTTTGCCCCAGGCCAGTGGAAATAGTCTTTAGTTATGTATTCATTTAACTGTGACTTCGGGACTGGAACAAAAAGAAGCTTTGGGAAATGAAAGACAAATGGAATCATAGTAGGTGATTGAGTTGTTTTTTTTTAATTTTTATTCTGTCTTCATGAGATTTGGAGGAATGTAATTACTTCATACTCACAAAGGTTAGAGCCATTATAAAGCATTTGAAACATAAACTGGGCAACAACCTCAATCTATGTCATGTTTTTTTGATATTTGCATATATTATAAATTTTAAAATATATGTAAATTATACACACATCCTGTTCTATGTTGTAAAAACTAAAAACACTAAAATAAATTTAGGATGGCTCTATGAAAAATTGAAGCCCTTAAGTTATACATGAAAATGTATTAGTTGTTGGAAATTAACATATTTTACTAATCACTAAACTCAACATTAGGTTTTAATCATTTCCTGGAACATTAAAATGTACTTTCTATATTAGATATAATACATGCTATTTCAAAATTTTCCATAGTATTAAATGACATTCAAAACCTCCTGCATCCTTAGGTCCATTTTCCAGGATATTTTATCCTTCTCTTCCTTCATCTTATCACTTGTCCTCATAAGATTTTGCTCCATTTTTGCTCCCTAGCCTTACCATGTCCCAATATTCAGAAACCAGAGCAAATAATTAGTCTGAATTCCTGCAGAAAAAAAAAATTGGGTATACCATCATTCTTTCATCTACCACAGAAACAAATTATGCTTATTTTATTTTTATCATTATTATTTTTTTAATATATTTTATTGATTTTTTACAGAGAGGAAGGGAGAAGGATAGAGAGTTAGAAACATCGATGAGAGAGAAACATTGATCAGCTGCTTCTTGCACACCTCCTACTGGGGATATGACTGCAACCAAGGTACATGCCCTTGACCGGAATCGAACCTGGGACCCTTCAGTCCGCAGGCCGATGTTCTATCCACTGAGCCAAACCGGTCAGGGCTTTATCATTATTTTTAATCTTCACCTGAGGATATTTTTTCCATTGACTTCTTGAGCGAGTGGAAGGGAGGGAGAAGGGAGCAGAGAGAGAAAAACGTCGATGGATGCCAGAGAGAGATAGAGAAAGAGAGAGAGAGATTGGTTGCCTCCTGCGAGTGCTCCTACCAAGGCTGGGGAACCTGCAACCCAGGCACTTGCCCTTAACCAGAAATCAAACCGGTGACCCTTCAATCCTCAGGCCGAGGCTCTAACCACTGAGCACCCGGCCAGGGCTATGCTTATTTGAGGACGTCATTTTTATGTACCGTAAAATATACGTGTTGGTTATGTTTTATATAGATTTCTGAGCTTTTTCCTTTCATCAGATTTGAAGTTGGGCAATAATGCTTCCAAGATAACTGGGCTGCATCCTTTTTTGTAAAATCAGAAGCTCTTAACTTTTCCAAGTTTTAATTGAGCGCTCCCGCTCTGATCTGTAGTGATGTCTTCAGCTTATAGCTGTGGAAATTCACCCCACCTCATTCTTGAACATCCCTCTTTACTTCCTCCCACCCACTTCATTGAAACAGACCCTGTGGGCCCAGGTCCAGGGCATCCCTGCATCCATAGTAACCAGACTTCAGCTTTCTTTGTCACCATGGTGACGGCTCGGCCGGCCCGTTGGTCGCCATGGTAACTGGGGGCGGGTAGCAGGGTCCGGCGGGCTGGGCGCATGCGCGCGCGCGGGGAAGCCTGGCCGCGCCGCACGCTCGCGACCCCTCGGCTTCTCTCGACATGGCGCTGCGGCGGCGGCGTCGGGGGCTCCTGCTCCGCGCGCGGCTGCCCGACTTCTTCCTCCTGCTGCTCTTCAGGGGTGAGTGTGCTGCTGCCCGTGGGAGGGGGGGCCCGGGGGGCGATGGGAGCCGAGCGGGCCGAGCGGCTGGAGCCCATCCAGGCGGGAATAGCGGTCCCGGCCCTGGCTCCGCGGCGGAGAGGACTCGGGTCCCGGGGAGAGGATTCGGGTCGGGGCCTCGAGGCGGGGTCCGGGCGGGAGGCCGGGCTGCTGTGGCGGAGCTGGGCCCGACGCGGGCGCGGGACCCTGCGGGGCACCCTGCGGGGGACCGCGGCGCGGGCGGCGCGCGGCGAGGCCGGTGGGCGGCCTGCGGGGTCCCCCGGCGCCCGCTCGGCACCCACCCGGCTCCTGGCCCCGCTCCCTCGGGCTCCTCGGGTCGCGCTGTAAACAAAGGGACTCCGCCGGGGCGAACGCAACTTTCGTGCGAAGAAAACGGCGCGGGTCTCACTCCAGGACTCGCCCGTCTCCCGCCCGAGCGAGGAGCGCGCGCAGACCCCGACCCGGCGCCCGGGGGGCCGCTCGGATCGGGGCGCAGCGAGGCACCGGGGAGCCCGGCGCGCCCTTCCCACTGTCGGGAATTCCCACCAGAGTCGCGTGTCCCGGGACAGCTGGACAGAAGGACCGAAATAGCTCCCGAGGAGCGAGGGCGCGCGTCCTGGGCCCGGGGCGCTTGGGAACTAGCGTGTTCTTGGTCTTTTTACAACAACTTGGGGAGCTGGGTTTCCCTAAGCCACTGGCTAGATAAGAAAGCGAAGACCGAAGGCCAGTCTCTATTCCAGGTCAGGGGGGCAGCAGACACCACCCCATTCCCACCACGGACTGTACCCCACTCTTCTTCCCCGGGTCTGCGGTCGTTTCATTGTCTGGCTTTTCTCTACCATTGTCCTCCCGTGATGTTTTGCGGAATATGCAAGTGAACACGCGAAGGGACTGTCTCAGAATTGGGGGGGGGGGGGCGGGGAGGAGAACAAAGCATTCCTGTGTGTGGTGCGCATTCACGTGCAAGTGCCCACAACGGTGGCAGTGAAGGGGGGGGGGGTGCCCCTGGGACAGAAGCTGGGAAAACGGGGCTCTGTGATGAAGGATAGCGTTTCAGGGGGGAACTATCCACCGTAGACTTTGCCTGGAAGTAATTTCCAGAAAGGTACGTGGCCGAGTGATCTAAGTGGCCGGAGGCTAGCCGGGGGACAAGGGTGTCAGGAATGCCCGGCTCCCGGCTTCGTCGGTCACACGGACACTGTCCTATTCACAGAGGGAACAACTCCCTATTGTTGCAGAGGGTCCGCGCACATGAAAGCTGGCAGTTTCTATTGCAGGAGCAATTGGCAGTTTCGTTCAGGAATGAGTTTCAACGCGGTGTTTTGTTTTTTAAATAAAACTGGAAGATGCAAGGGACCTCACAGACCCATAACCTCCTAGTTAGCCCTCCTGGAGGAGCTCGTTGGTGACTTCTTGATTTAAAGGGCTGAGATTTACCTGGAGAGCAGGGGAGAAAGGATCCCATGTTGCAAAATAGGACCAGTGACAAAGAATCAAGGTGGTAGGATGTGTTAATTCTCTTTGAAGGGACATACGTATTTATTCAGGAGGGAGCTCTTTTTCCATTAATTTTTTTAAAAAAAATATATCTTATTGATTTTTTTTACAGAGAGGAAGGGCGAGGGATAGAGAGTTAGAAACATCGATGAGAGAGAAACATCGATCAGCTGCCTCCTGCACACTCCCCACTGGGTATGTGCCTGCAACCAAGGTACATGCCCTTGATCGGAATCGAACCTGGGACCCTTGAGTTCGCAGGCTGACGCTCTATCCACTGAGCCAAACCGGTCAGGGCTCTTTTTCCATTAATTTATGTTCTAAATATATTTCTAGGAGCTTGAAAACCGTATTCTTCCACAAGTCATGATAAGCTGTGTCTTTTTTTAAAATTTATTCTTTAATTGCTATTGCTTTTTTGTATTCTCATTTAAAAAAAAAACACGCTGGGTTCCCAGTATAATACAAACATTCTGTATTCGTTTCCTTTAGTCAGGCTGGATTATAAGAATTTAACATATATTAATTCTTTTAATACTAATAACCACTCTAAGATGGTTGCTATTATTTTTTCCCATTTTGTGAATGGAAAAAAACACACAGAAGCACAGAAAAATTCAGTAACGTGCTAAGGGAGATTTAATTTGGAAATCTTCAACAGTTGGTGTTAATCCAGTTTTTGGTTTCTTGTATTATTCCATTTGATAGTGGCGTTCTTATTATGGATCAGTTTAACCGAATTATCAAATGTTCAGAGCTTTGTGGTTTGTATATAAAATATTTCTTTTGTCGAATGGGTGACAGGTGCAATTCAAGTTTACAAATGTTCTGCCATATGTCTTTTTAAAAAAAGATTATTACTGTCAGGCTCCCAAATCTTGGATGTCCTAGAGCAGCGGTTCTCAACCTGTGGGTCGCCAACCCTTTCACAGGGGTCGCCTAAGACCATCGGAAAACACATATATAATTACATATTGTTTTTTATGGTTAATCACTTTGCTTTAATTATGTTCAATTTGTAACAATGAAAATACATCCTGCATATCAGATATTTACATGATGATTCATAACAGTAGCAAAATTACAGTTATGAAGTAGCAACGAAAATAATTTTATGGTTGGGGGTCACCACAACATGAGGAACTGTATTAAAGGGTCGCGGCATTAGGATGGTTGAGAACCACTGTCCTAGAGGGAAGTGCTCCATTTAGCATTAAAACAGTAACAGTTTGCATTCTTGGGACAAGACAGTGTGCTGAAGCCTAATAAAATTTGAAAATCAAAACTTCCAGGATGTTTTTGAAAAAGAAAACAAAGGAAAAAAAAAAGTTCTCAACTTTCTGTTTGCATGTGTTTGAACTCTTGAAACATTTAAAAAAAAATAACCCATTTTTTAATGCTATTTTAATTCTTTTAAATGGTCTGCTAGGTGTGATCATGATTGGAAGGTGCGTGTATTTTCAGAAAAACAAGGACCACCTGCCTGATGCAAGCAGCGCCTCACGTCAGCTGTTGACGCTGATGACTGTTTGCTAGGCATTTGTTCTTGGTGCTTCAGGCTAGGGAGCCCGATGGATAGCTGTTAGAAACACATAATCGTAAGAAATGGCGGTTACATCCTGGAGGAATGATCCTACACCCAACTCCTATGCTCTCTGCAGCTTGCTCTAAAGGCGGCCCCGTAGGGTAGGCTTAAATCAATTCTTTTGAAGGAAACCAGATTTGTATTAAGCACAGTTTCTGAAAGGACCAGATAGTGTAACTGAAGAAGCGGTGGATTTAGTACATCCAACTAGCAGCTGTTAGAGATGTGATATTAGCAAATTCCTTCTCTATACATTCTCTGGATTTTTTCAGAGCACAAGTGGAGTAGAAGAAAGGAAAACACGTGTGAAGGAAGTTAGGATGTATGGCGTCTGCTGAATGATACCCTAGTCATGAAGTTGCATTCTTTCTCTCTTCAGTTTGTTCTATTGGTGAGAGTTACCGATGTGTCCCCCCCCCGCCCCCCACCTTTGCATACCTCCACCAGGCTCCCGATTCACCCCAGGCCTTCACTTGTCTATTGTCTGCACCCGTATATGCATATAAGTTCTTTGATTAATCTCTTCCCCCCAGCTTCTCTTTTTTAAGCTATGTTTGCAGTCAGGTGGTGTGAATATGATGCTGTTAGAGCTGCATGCAGATTGCAAGTCTTCTGTATCTACCCTCTGAAAGCTAACGGTGTGCACATCGCCTCGCTGGAGTAGAGATCGGGAAGCTTGGGCAAGCACATTCTCTTCCACTGAGTTTAGCAAGGACAGTGTCGAAGTCGACAGTGATATCTAAAGCCTTCATTTACTGCTTCTGCCACTTGCCTTTTCACACAGAAAGCGTCCGGAGAATGAGTCCTGGTCTCCATGATAAGGAACGCTGCCCTATTTTGTGTTGGTGTGTTTTCTTTGTTTTTAAGGAGTATCGATGATGGGTTATATATTTCCTATGAGTAGTTAATATGTACAGCAGGGGTTTCAGTGCTGGTTGTGTAGAAACATCAAACTTTAAAGTAGATAGATATAGATATAGATGTGTGTGTGTGTGTGTGTGTGTGTAATTGATTTCAGAGAGGAAGGGAGAGGGAGGGAGAGATAGAAATATCAATGATGAGAGGGAATCATCGATCAGCTACCTCCTGCTCGAACGGAGCCTGCAACCCCAGGCTTGTGCCCCGACCAAGAATCGAACCATGATCTCCTGATTCATAGACTGATGCTCAACTACTCAGCCACGCTGGTCGGGACAAAACATCAAACTTTTTAATAAATTAGGAGCATGCGGTCTTTTTCAACATCACCTTTCGTTTTCAGAGAATCCCAAGGCTCCTTTGGCTCAGCCTTCTTCCTGCACATCGTTGCCAAAACCCAAGTCTGCCATATCCGTGCTGTGTGCTTTGCCCCAGCTCCCAGCGATCCTCCCCTGTCTCACTGAGCAGAGCTCTCCGTCTGGCTCAGAGCTCTAGTCCAGTTCAGTGCAGTAGAACATCCTGAGTATCTGTAGTGTGCCACCTGCTGCACCGTTCTTCATGCTGGGGGTGCAGAATGAAGACAGCACCCTCAGCCCTCAGGGGGAGCCAGGATGAGTGCATTGTCAACTATATTGGGCTTCAGTTGTTGGGTGCAAATGCATTTTATCTTGTCAGCGATAGAAAAAGTTTGTTGAGAACAGAGGCTGAATTGAATTTCTCTTGTCTCTTTTCAGAGATGATTAGAGTAACTATTCTCGTTGTCACTTGAAACTCAGTTAACATTTCTTAAACACTGCCTATGTGTCCAGGCCTTTTGAATGCTTCTTATCTTAGTTCCAGCGGCCTAGAAACTTTGGGAAATTCTTAGTTTTTACCACAGTAGTGTCTGTGGAAGAAAAAGAAAGGCAAGTGTCGCTTGACTTGGCTTAGTTTAAAAACCTTTCTACCATCTACTCTGTGCAGTTATACAAGGTTAAGAAGA